GCCAAGATACTGTGAAGGCTCCTTTTGGAGAAACTGGCCTTGCAGCAGTGATGACATACATGAGCCTTACACTGTTCATGCTCTGAATGAGTTCACACACTAGTGTTCAAGCAGCTGGTTAAGGCTTGAATACGTGGATCCCCATCCTATTCCAGGAGTTGTTTCTAGCAGCTGTGGTGCCCACAAGTACTGTTGCATTCAGCTCTGATATTTGAAGATTTGCGATGCTTTTCTAACATATGATTGGCAGCGACAAATTGCTGTGAGCTTTCATGTTGGTATGGCCCTGTAAGGCTCTCTGAGGTGAGAATGTAACCCAGCACTGCTGCTTTTTCTGGGATTGGAGTTCCATATCAAGTGATGCACTAACATATTTCTAAAGATATTCTGAGTATCAAGCTCTGAAGCAATGTCTTCAGACATATGCTGCTTTGGCAGGCTGGCCGCCTCTACGGAATGGTTGTAGCTTTCCTTGTCCAGTGACTGGTTAGGGCTCCTGCTTAATACAATCTCATGTACAGGCAGGGATTGCCCAGAAGGCTGTCCCCCCCCCCCCCCCAATTCTCTGGTGGGGAGCTAGGAGGCAGCTCCTCTTGCTTTGGGCTTTGTATTCCCTCAACCTTCTTCAGCCTGCACCAATACCTTGTGGCAGAGTTTTCTGATCACAGTTATGCTTCTATTATTGGGTTAAGCTGCTCATTTTTCTTTCAAATATTTCTATTTAAATTAGCACATACCTCAGGAGTGTGGAAATGTAACAGATTTAAAGGGATGCACATAAAGTATTAAGGTGGCTGTGTTTCTCCATTTCTTTGCGTTACCTACTTCACAGGGAAAATATGTGAATGAAAAGGACTCAAAAGAGGCAGTTCCTAGAGAAATAATGGAGCTTTCCAGCAGGGCATAGTGTATGGTCTTGCCTAACAGTGCAGTGTCAGTAGGACTTCCAGGATGTCCTGATCTAGATCTTGCACTGTTTGCCTGGCTCTTTGGCCTGTACGTTGAATTGCCTAAGCTCCATGGGAGCACCAGCCGATTTCTTGTGCTTCTGAGGGATTTTTGGATGAGCTTTAAGGCATCTTCCCTTTGGATTGGAGCATAAAATACCTTGGAGCATAAAATAGCTTGGAGGGATTTTGCTGTAGCTGAGGAGCCAAAGATTCAGCCTTGGAACCTGTCTCTGCTTGATTTCCAGGTTTATTCTGATAGCATGCGATGGCCTCTTTAAAGTCTTTACACCAGAAGAAGCTGTGAACTTCGTTGTGTCCTGCCTGGAGGTGAGGAGAAGGCAGCATGGTGGCTGGGTTTATCAATACAGGGACACAAAACGGAATGGCTCTGACTTGCAAAAATGCACTTCTGCTGGGGTATCCTCCCTTATACTTGAGGTTGTCCTTATTTGCTTTGCTTCCTCATGCTTGGAAATTACCATGTGCTTGCACCTATGAGCTTTGCTGGGAACAGTCATCGATGTCTTTCCTCATCCCAACAGGATAAGAACATCCAGATGAGAGAAGGGAAGCTAGAAGCAGACGCTAGATACGAAGCTGCCTGTAACAGACTGGCCAACAAGGCAGTACAGCGAGGGTCGGCGGACAACGTCACGGTCATGGTGGTCCGGATAGAGCACTGAGAGATGAGGTGCAGCAGCAGGATTCCCAGCTTGTGGCAGATGTAAGGGAAGGGAGAAGTCTCTGTGTGTGCATGTGTGGCCGGGGGAGGGAGGGTCCTGCTGGATGCTCTTCAGTGTAAATAAAGTTGTTTTGTTGTTTTTTTTTTTTTTCTAATAGTTTTAGGTCACTCGGCTAGCAGTGTTTTCTAAGTGGCTGCCCCAGTGGATCAGCCCATGTCGAAATCTCTTGTCCTGTCAACGCCCCCTGAATGTCTTGTCAAATCAAATAAATCCATTTGGTGGAGGTGCTAGCAAGAGCAGGCATCTGTGGGTATGAACTCTGCCAGCTGTTCCAAACGGTGCAGTTCTGCTGTTTGTTTCTTTGAGCTTGTTATGAGGCCCTGGGAGAGTCCTGAGCTCTTAGGGCTCAATGGGAACTCCCGATCAGACTGTGCAGTACCTCAGACTACCAGCTTGAGATGCAGTGTGGGCTGTCTTCTTAGTGTGCTGGGAAGGAGATCTTTTGGTTCTGAAGCTGGGTTGTGAGGTTGCATGCAGCTGAGGGATACAAACACCGCTGGCAGAGCAGCAGTGTGCCTTCCCTCTGCTGGCAGAAAACGTGGGGGTTTTATCCCAGTGGTTGATATGGCAAAAGTGGCTGGAGTTTGCTCCTGATGTTTATTGGGAAAGTGTTTTCACTGAATGGACCTGCCAGGCAGCTGAGATAAGGGCAGGCTCTGTGCTTGTCTGTGTGCTATCTGAGGAGCAGGCATCTCGGGTTTTAGGTACTTGTTGCTATTAAGTGTCTGGTATCTCATCCTGTCCCCATTCCTCTACCAGCTGTTGCTGCAGAGAGTTGGTGTGATGTTTTCCAGAGAAAAGTTGGCTTAAGACCAAATGACAGTGTGAAAGCTAAACAGATTGGGCTACCAAAGCACTTGAATTCCAGATGACACAACTTTCCAGTCTCATGGGTGAGATGGTGCAGTGAGGGAGATGAGCCAGTGGGTCTGTACAGTGGCTTCTTGTGCAACCTCATTGCTCTGCATGAGAAATGGTGCAGTCCCAGAGGGAGGTTGGGCAGGCTAGTGCAGTGGTGCTTGCTGTTTTGTGCATAGTCCTGCACAAGGTTATGAGGCTTCCAGGCACTTTTCTGTTCCCTGGAGCTTTGGGAGATGGTCCCAGACCCTGGGCTGTGTGTTTTCTTGAGCACACAAAAGCTGTCCTGTTATTTGGGGCAGGTGGCTTGACCGCCTTTCATCTATTTCTGCTACAGCAGAAATCAAGTTAAAGTTCATGGGCTCATGCTAATGCTTAGGCTAACTCTGCCTAGTTTGCGGTAACTCCCTGCATTTCCTGCAGAGCACTGAAGAAGGAAGTGGGCCTTCAGCACATATTTTGGGTAGCCCTTGCCTCTGTCTGTTGGCTTGTTCTGCTCCCAGCCATTCCTGTATATTCTGATGTATGGTTGCATGGCAGTATGAGCTGAGAGGGAACTCCCCATATTAGCAACGTGCTCTGCTGCTTCTGCTCTTGAAAGCCAAATTTGGAGAGCCAAGACAGGGTAGCATGGAATTTCTTCAGTATGTGGCAAAAGAAACCCTGACAGCAGATCTCAGAAAGGCAACTCGCCCTCCGTTCTCACCTTCCTGCTTTTCACAGCTTCTGTGCTGGGGAGAGCTGTGTGTTGTACTGAGAGAGCTGAGCCAGGCACCTGTCTCTCTGGTGCTCCCTCCAGGAGGCCCTTCTGAATTCCAGTGCAAGAGCTGGTGAGAGAAGGATCAGCTTGTCCTTCTCTGACTGTCTTCTCTCCCTCTCTCTCCTCTTACAACTCTTCTTTCCTTCCCTTTAGAAAGAGTACTGAAAACAGAACTCTAGCTAGGAACATAATACACAGTGCTATGGTACAGTTAATAACTGTTTCCATAAAATGGATCGTCTTGTCCATTTGTCAGGGCATGGGGGAGAAGGAAGCACTGTGGAGCAGGTTTCACCATGCTTGTGAATAGTGAGCCAGTTAGAAAGGCAGGCTCAACCCCAGCTTTGGTGGAAGTTGAAAAACTGTTTGCTTGTATTTCCTGGTAGGATGGGGTCCACAAGAGGTTACCTGACAATAAACTCTCCTTGCCTCATTACTCAGCAGAGTCCTACTACTGTGGGGAGCTCCGGGACCACCACCCCTGAGTGGCCCATAAAGAAGTGATGTACATACAGCTCCCTTCCCCTGGGGCTGACTGAGCTTCTAGCCCCCTCCCAACACCTAAATTAGCCCCCTAGTAGCTCTGACTTAATCAGCTGTTTCAATTTTGCATTCAAGTGCTCTGGGCTCTTTATACCTCATTGGCAGAGGACAGTTTACCAGCTCAGAAAGCCCTGTTCTCCAACAGTGAGTCTTTTTGTATCTTCTTGGATGTGTCTGGTAAGAAGGGAAGGTGGCTGATCCAAGTGAGACTGTCTTGGCTTGAAGTCATGTGCGGTGACTGGGAGCTGCTGGCTGAGCTGAGCTCCTTAGCTGGGGGAAAAGCATGTCTGCCTTTTCAGAGACGAGTTCTCTTTGCCTTGAGGCAGAAGTTGGTATTAAAACTGCACAGCCAGAGCTTTACCCTGCCCCTCCCCTGGATCCAAACACCCCTGCTCACTAAAGAGCTGCAGCAACAGCTATTTCACCAGGCTCCTTGAGGAGATGCAGCCTGCAGAGGAGACCAGGCAGGGCCAGGAAAGCCCTCATGAGTGAGGTCCAATGTGAGGAGACTGCCTCCCCCATGCCTGCGTGCATGGATCTCCTGGGGAAGGTGGGGCTGGGTGCAGTTCGGGCTATCTTGTGGTGCTGCTGGCACAGCTTGCCCAGTGTACGTGCTACTAACAAATAAAATGTGCGGCTCCCTTGCCCCACACCCAGCCTGCCCCGGTACCTCTCCAGCAGCCCTTGCTCAGGCACGTAGCCCTGCGCCCATCCTCAGCTCAGACAGCTATCAGAGCCAAAGCAAGGAGAGTATCTGTGCTGCCCACAGCCTGGGCCCTGTGCCACGGGCAAGGAACGCCTGGTGTGGAAAGCCACAGGACAGGAATTTGCTTTAATCGAATGTGTGGCATTATCAGGACATTGCTCTGCTTTGAAGATAAGGATGTTGGCTTCTGCCAGCGAACATTCCCTGCTAATACATCGTAGGGGAGCTAAAGCGATACAAATAATCTGTTTGCGGCTGCTGAGAAGCTGGGCAGGAAAATCTGCTGAGAGCAAGAATGGAGGCATGGGGCTTCATCTTGGACACTGGCACAATGGGAGCTGAGCCCTGCAGAGAAAGCAGCCAGCTACCACTGTTGTCAGAAGCATTTTCCAAGATAAACTTCCAGCCCTAGCCTTTAGATACAAGCGAACTCCTTTAGCTCCTTGTCAGGCTGCTTTTTTTATTATTATTAGCCTTTCCTCCCCAATCTGTCCAGCTTCAGATGGTTCTGCAGCACCTGCAGTATCGGATCAGCCTGCAGCTCCTGCAGCAGCAAAAGATCTTCCCTGGGCTTGGTGCTGAGCAGGGGAGGCATGACAGTGGCTGGCAGAGGGAAGGGTCCAGCTCTGGCACAGGTTCAGCTCCCTGCGTGGTGCCCAGGGCCTCTTCACACCCCCAGCAGAATGGCGCTGAAATCAGAGTTGCTTTGAACAGTGAGGGGAGAGTCTGCAGCGTTGTCCACAAAAACAGAGGCGTACTGCCCAGCCTGGAGGGAGAGAGGGCTTAACAGGGCTGGGACCTCTCCTCTGGGCACAGCCTGGCAGGGCAAAGGAGAGAGCTCTGCCCTGAGAGCTGGAGGGGCTGCTCGCACCCCGTCTGGGAAAAGGGCGACACAGAGGACGCGAGGGCAGCCTAGCCATGCTCTGTGTTGTAGCATCCCAGTAGACTTCAGCTCTTGAGTGACCTTCGAGACACAGACTCCAGGCCCAGCCCTGGAGCTGGTGCCACAGGAGGCACCTCCATGCCTGGCACAGTCCTGAGCAGAGCTGGCGCCACTAACCTGTAGGTAAAGGATTCCGGTGACAGAGATGGTGAAAAGGTCACTGCCGTTCTCCAGCTGGGACACGGTCTCCAAATTGCTGCAGAAGAGGGAGGGTGGTGCTGGGAAGAGCAGAGGGATGCTGGACTCCTCCCTCCCAGCTTTGCCCTGCCGTACCTGTTGTGCTGGCAGTGGGACTGCACGCAGATCAGCACCCGCAGGCGGTTCCCTCTACACGGCTGCCCCTTCCTCCGCTGCTCTCTGCGCGCTGGGACAGAGGGGAAGGCGAGAGCTGTGCTGGGACCTCCCCGGTGGCACCAGGGGGGGGTGGGGGTGCAGGGGGGGTGCCTGAGGGCTCACCAATGCGCAGTGTGGCGGTGAAGGTGTAGTACCCTGCGATGGGGGCTGTGTACTGCCCGCTGGTCAGGTTCAGCCCCGAGCCACGGTGGAACATCCCCTCCCTCTCTGGCTAGGGGGGGAGAAAGGCTGGGGTTAGAGACTGAGCCCCCGCACCAGGGTAGGTGCCCCCCCCCCCCCCCCCCCCAGCAGGAGGCTGCTGTGGGTGGGAAGGGGCATCAGGCTGGGCACTCACAATGTAATAGAGCTGCAGCTCCTGCCACGCTCTCTGCTCCACAGAGATGTTTTCACGTGTCCGGCAGTAAAAGGCTGCTTCCACACGAGGACGGGACCTAGCCCGGGGTTTGTCTTTAGGGCTTTCCTCCTCTTCGTGCCCTTCCCAGGCCTTCCTGCGTGCCTTCACCTGCTCCTTCACCAGGCCTGACCCCAAAACCCAATCAGGGCTTGGCTTTAGGAAGGAACCTCAGCTTTTCCCAGCCCCAAGATGAGAGGGGGCCTGTCTCTGCTGCCCAGCCTCATGGCACCCCGTCCCCCTCTCCTCCCCTGGGGTCCCCCTCAGCCCCCCCTTCCTGCAGCTCTCCCGGGGCTGGTGAGTACCTTTCATAAGGAGCTGCAGCTCCTTCAGCAGCTCTTCCAGTACGGCGGGGGCAGGGTCAGCGCCCGGCACACCGAATTTCGAGGCAGCCTGGGCTGATTTTCCCGGAGTCGGGCCGCTGGCCGGTACCGCTGCTGCACCGGCCCCCGGCCCACCCCGTTCCGTGCCCTTCCTGCCCCGGGCCCGGCTGCCGCTCGCCCGCCCGGTGCTCCCGGCCAGCAGCATCCACGCCTGGCGGGGGTCCACGTCGCCGGCCCGAGGGGCGGCCGCCCCCGGTCCTCCGCCTCCCTCCTCCCTCCTCGTGGCCGCTCCCGGGCCCGGCGGCGGTTCCGGGGCCGGCCCCGGGGAGCTGGGCCCGGCGGCGGCGGCGCAGAGCAGCGCCAGGCACAGCTCCGGCAGCCGCATCCCGCCGGGACCGGGGCCGGGGCCGGGGCCGGGAGCGGGGCCGGGAGGGCGGCCCCCGCCCCGCCTCGGGGCCCGCCCCGCCCCGCCTCGGCCGCGCCCCACAGCGCTCCTCGGCGTGCGTGCTTCATGCTTAAAAAAATGCTATAAACCCGAGCGCGGAGCAAATTAACCATCACCCAGCGCGGACAGAGTTACGGCGTCTCGGTGGTCCGGGAGCGGGACCGGCCCCCGGGGAAGTGTCGCCTCGTGCTCCCCCCGGGCTGGGGCATCCTCTGCCACCGGCTACCAGCAGAGCCAGGGATGGGGCGATGGGGCGGGAGGCGCTGCTCGGCTCTGCCCTGGCACCAGGAGCCACTGAGGTGCCGGCTGCTTTGCGATGAGCCTTTGGGTCACTTTCCCAGGGGCATGTGCTGCACACACCAAGAGAGAAACCAGGATGAAGCACCCTGCCGCAGTCCGCTGTGCCACCCAAGGACACAGAGCATCCAGAAGCTGGTTTATCTCCTAACGTTTTGCTCCATGGGTGCTGGAGCAGGTCTGACACTTAAGTGTGGGCCAGCAAAGTGCTGGAGAGCTTTGGGTGTTGGGAAAGAGAGATTCCTCCGATCTCCCTCATGTTTCCCCATGCTGGATGTCAACACAATGGGGAAAGGGACCATGGCCACCAGGCAGCAGTGCCAGTCTCTGATAGGATGGGCCACACTTTCAGAGGCCTCAAAATACCCTATAAGCTTAGGGGGTCTGGAGGAAGAAAAAGGCAGTTCTTAAAAACAAACAAACAAGCTGAAAGAGAGCATTAGCCAAAGCATGTTTATAAAGAAAAGCCTAAGAAAGAGCCTTTTCCCTGTGATGGCAGGAAGGGAACATGCTCCTGATGCCCCAGCCAGCCTGGCAGAGGGGTTTCCTTCTCCCCCCCCCCGCAGAGCTAAACCGGCAGCGGGGAGAGAGGCCAGAGGGGAGCGCAGCTGTGCAGGGTGATAGGCGATGCTGTAGGCTCCTCTACCACCCATGGTCACCCTGGAAAGCCTCTGTCCACTTGGAGGTGTCCATGAAGACAGAGGAGGAGCTGTGGAAGAGCCAGGGGCAGGGCAGGGAGCCCTCCCGCGTCCAGAGGTCCTTGGCGCAGTCATACACCTCCATCTCCACCCGGTAGTCCCCATCCATGCCCTTCCAGTGGCCGCCGGTGACGAAGAGCCGGTCACCCAGTGGCACCATCCCGCCATTCTCGTGGAGAGTGTGCAGGAGCTGCACCTGCACAAGGGGCAGGGTGAGATGTGCAGGGACTCCCTGGGGACCTCCTGCTCCCAGCGCAGAGGACACTGATGCCCTGGGCATGTTCCCCCCATCCTGTCCTCTCTGCGAGATTTGGGGGCTCCTGGGGCATGTCTTGCTTTTAGCAGCATCCCCGTGTTGTGCTTGTATGGGAGCGAGGTTGGGGGTGCTTCAGGGAGTGTGGGGGATCTGAGGGGTGGATGGGACAGGCAGGATTTTGCTGGGCTGCACAGGCAGGAGCCCTGCAAACCCTGCAGGAGGGTGGTGCTGGAAAAAGGGGGTCCTCTGTGCTTCTGCAGCGTGAACACTGCTTAAAATCAGTAACTCGGTGTGAAAGCTGTGCTCCTAGTGTGGGTATGATGGGGCAGCAGGGAAGGATCGGGGCATATTCAGGTCTGCAGGGGTTAATAGAACCAAGGGATGAGTGGGCAGGAAGGAGAGGTGCTGGCACCCTGGGGGAGTGGGTGTGGGGGTATGGTTGGAGGGTGCTGTTGGGGAGGGAACAGCTGCCCCACCTCCCTGGGAGGGTGACTGTGCCCAGCCCCGCATCCTGCTACCTTCTGCCAGATGTTGGCCTCTGGGTTGTACACATGGACCTTCTTGGTGTTGTCCCCGATGAGGTAGATGAGCCCGCGCAGGGTGGCACAGCGCGGGGCCGAGAGGTACTTGGGGATGAAGGGGGATGTGATCACACTCCACAGATCTGCAAGGAGCAGCCATCAGCAGCACGTCCCACCCTTGGCTCTTGATGCAGCTGCCAGTGACCGAAAAAAGCATTGCCAAGCCTGCGGCTATTTAAGGAGGAGTTTGAAAGGGAGGGGACAGAGTGGCCAGGTAGGGCTGCACTTGCAGTCCCCATCCCAGATGAGGCTTTTGCATAAAAAAAAAAAAAAAAAAAAAAAAGCGTGGGGGGATATTGTTCGTAGCGGTGGCGTGGGATGGGGGAAACCACTGTGGTCTGTGCAGAGGCTGCCGGAGCAGGTGGAGCTGTCACAGGGGTTTAGCTTCTCCCTAAGGCGGGCAGCCTCCCCCACCCCTCTGCCCTCTCCACTGAAACTCAGGTCTGAGCTGTGCTGGAGTTGTGTGACTCAGGTCTGTACTGCCAGCAGCTGTGGTCCTGGCTGGGCCCCGTGCTGCAGGCGTCGCTGCACCCTGTTAGCACCTGGTTGCATCCCACAGGATGGCACAGGATGTTACCTGCCTGGGGGCGTGTGCCCCCCCCCCAGTCCTGCTCCCTGGAAAAGCATTGGCATGGCACAGTGGCAGGGCCAGCTCTCACCTTGCACCGGGTTGTAGCACTGCAGGGTGAGCGCGCTGTACTTGATGGCGCAGGAGCCCACCAGGTAGAGCTTGCCCAAGCAGCTGGTGGCCGCAAAATTGCTCACGTATTTGAGGGCTGGGCCGATGGCACACCAACTCTTGTTGTAGGGGTCGTAGCGCTCCACCTCCACCGCATCCACCGTTGTCCCTGCAGGGTGGTGGGGCACTGCAGCCAACCTGCTGCTCCGGGGCACCCACAGACCCCCACCCCAGAAGCACCCGTGGGGTCTTTGTGGCCTTACCCCCGATGACGTAGATCTCGCCATTGAGGACAGCACTGGTGTGGTTTGTCCGGGCTCTCAGCATGGAAGCAATGGGCTTCCAGGTGCCATCCCTGGGGCAGAAACGCCAGGCCTGGGTCGTCGACCATGTGTCATTCTGGGACCCCCGGGAGCCGCCTGGGGAGGGGTAGGTCAGGCGGGCCACCCCCTCCGAGCACAGCTGTGCCTGGGCAGCCCTTGCCAGTGGCTGGAGCCACCCCAGAGGGGAAGCAAGGAGAGGGCTTTGCTCTGAGAGGTCGGTAGCCCCTGGCCAGCACCCCGTGCCCACGTATTTGTCCCCCATCCTCCATTCCCGCTCCTCGGGGACATCCACCCGACACCGGCAGCCACAGCACCTACCTGTGACGTATACATCATTGTTCAGAGCCACCAGGGAAAAGCCCCATTTGTTGTAATCAGGGAAGTCAGGCAGAGCCATCCATCGCCCTGAAACCCAGTGGAGTCAAGTGATGACCCCCGCCCCAGCCAGCAATGACATTTTTAAAACAGCTCTGTTTCACTCTTCCTTTCCCCCCTGCCCCACACTCCCCTTGCAGCGCCCCTCCTGACACCACATCATTTGGCAAGAGGTGGCTCTGAGGTAGATGAAGGGTTAATTAACATATGGTGGGGAGTGTGCGCTTGCCCCATCCCTGCCATGGGCACTTACTGCTCTTGGGGTTGTAGAAAGCGAAGTTCCTGGTGGTGGCGGGCATCTCCAACCCCCTGTCCTCATGCTCACCCTCCTCTAGCACGTGGCCACCGACCACCACCAGCACCTCCTCCAGCTTCTGTGGTGGGGTCGGAGTGTTCTTCTGGGCACCGGCAGTGCCCTGCCCCTGACAGAGAGGCCAGGGCAGGACCATCAGGTTCAGAGCTGAGCCTTCCCACCACCCGCCCCCCCCCAGCTTTGGGCGTGGGTTTTGGGGCAGAGGGTACCCACCGTGGCGCGGGATCGGGTGACAAGGGCCTTGCTGGCATCTGAGTCACGGACAAGAGGCTCAGTGGCAAGCAGGTTCTGCAGGTACTGGTCAGGCAGTGAGACAAGGTGGGACAGCTCCAGCAGCTCGGGCAGGAACTGGGCTCGGGACCCTGGGTCGTGGCGTACCCAGCGCAGCACAGCCTCAGCCAGACTCTGCTCCTCCTGCACCTGCAGCTGGTCGTTGGAGAGGTAGATGGCCAACCTCTCCTTAGAGAGCTGGAGGAACTCCTCCTGCTGAGAGACGGCTTCAAAGTTCTCCTGCAAGAAAGACCAGGCCTTGGAGGAGACCTCAGGGCAGCCGTGGCTCTCACCGAACTCGCAGATACCTAGGCAGTTGGTGGCATCCATCTGCTGCCGGAGGTAGCGGCTGCAGACCTTCTGGATAGTGGGGAAGTGGAGCTGGCTGGAGGTCCTCATCAGGTCCTCCACATTGCCCTGGTTGATGGTAACCTTCCCCGTGTAGGCGAAGTCAAGCAGCATCTCCAACGCACCAGGGTCCACCTCCTTCAGGTCCACCCGCGCCGCAATGCTCTCAGCAAAGTCGCCGGAGAACATGGCGTGGAAGTAGTGGCTGCAGAGGGCCAGGATGCTGCGGTGGCAGGGGAACTCCTGCCCACCCGCCACCAGCGTCACATCTGCCAGCTTGGGGTTGGTGCGCAGCTGCTGCAGCCCCTCCAGCACGCCCTGGGCGTGCGAAGGCAGGCAGAAGTCAAAGTCGTCCACATTCCTCACCATGGTGCTGGGGATGGCCGCGGGGCCCTACGGGCGGACAGAGCCCAAGCGGAGTGTGGTGAGGGTGTCCCTGTCAGGAAAAGGCGATGACATCTCCTTCTCCCCCCCCCTCCCCCGCACCTCCGTGCCTTCCCAGTGCCCGATTTCCAGGCACCAGCAGGGGCAGGAGAAGTGCTCCCTGGAGTCCCCCACTCCTATTGCCGTCGTCGGCTGTGATTTCTCCCCCCCCCCCCCAAGCTCTGAGCTGCCCTGCCGGGGCTGCCACCGATTCTTCGGGGGTGGGGTGGGGGGTGGTTTTGGGGCTGGGTCGAGCCCCGCTCCAGGTCGCTGCCTCCCCCTCTCACCTGGCGTCTGCAGCCCTCCAGCCGGCTTACTGGGAGGGAAGCGGCCACGGTCCCGGCACTGGGGAGAGACACTCCGGCTTGACACGGGATCCAGCCGGGACGGGGCGGGGGGACACACTATTTTTAGGCAGCACCAGGACACCACTCCCTGCTGTTAAAGGCACCGTACAGGCAGCGCTGCTTGCTGCTGCCTATCTCGATCGCCCCGCGGCTTTGATGCTTTTTGGAAAGCATCCCTCCGTGAGCAGCCGGGCACCCCAAGCCCGGGGGAGAAGGCTCCCCCCAGCACCCTCCCCTGCCCCTCCCGCCCCTCTCTGCCCCATCAGTCACCTGGAGTCCCCACGATGTCCCTCCTCCCCCTGGCTGTGGCTGCTGATGCAGAGTGTTAAATATAGGATGTTATCTCACTTCCCGGAGGCCACAAACAAACGGCGGCAGCCGCTTCCCTGCGGGGAGCCGGGAGCCAAGACACCGGTGGCGGGGGTTGGGGGTGAGGGGATGGGGGGGGTTGCCAGGGCGGTCCCCCTCTGCCCGGAAGCTTTTTCCATCGCCCCGGGAAGCCTCGCTCAGCTCGGACAGAACCGAAAAGGCATTTATTGCAGCCCGCGGCCTCACGCAGCCCTCTGCCCTCCCCGCCAGCGGGCATCACTCCTCCAGGCTGAAGATCTCGGCTTCCTTCTCCTTCCAGAAGGCGAAGCTGCGGTCAATGTAGCGGCAGATATCGTCCCCCTCTCCCTCGGCCTCCCCCGGCCGCCGGGCCGAGCTTTGGGGAGATCCGAAATACCTCGCCTTGATGTCGTCGAAGCTGTCTTGCCAGCCCCGCCGGCCAGCGGCGATCTCGTCGGTGACGGCGCGGTGGAAGGCGCGCACTGCCCGCCAGCCGTGCCGGCCGAGCTGCTCGAACACCTCGAAGCAGAGGAGGTGGCGGCCACGGCGCTCCTCGGGGGGCAGATCCTGCTCCAGGATGCGGAAATAGCCCAGCATGAAGAGCTCCAGCGACAGGCTCTCGTAGTCGGCCGGGCCCCCCTCGGCACTCGCGACAAACTGCTCCGGGGACAGCGGGCCGCGGCGGGGGGCGGCGGGGGGCGGCGGGGGGCGGCGGGCGGCGGCGTCGCGCCAGCTGCACAGCAGCCGCTGGATTGCCGCCCGCTGCCGCGCCAGGCGCGCCGCCCCCCCGCCCCCGGTCCTCGCTGCCGCCTCCCGGGGGTCCCCGGCGGCCGGAGGGGGAGGCCCGTAGGCAGACCGTCTCCAGTGGCTCAGGAAGAGCATCACGATCCGCTCCTTCCTCAGGCTGCCCCACTCCGGCCCCGGGGAGCCGCCGCCTCTGCCGCCGCCGCCGCCGTCGGAAAACGCCTCCTCGCAGCTGATGCCCGAGTCGCTGGCGGCCTCCAGAACGCTCCCCGCGGCTGCCTTCCCCTCCGCCGCCCCCCAGGCGGGCTCGAAGGCACCGCGGAGGCTGCGGACACACACCCCGCACTGCCGGATCTCCCGCTGGGCCAGGCTGCCCCCCGGCTCCCGGGGCTGCCAGCCCGCGTAGGCGGGGGGGGCGGCGGCGGCGGCGGCGGGGGAGGCGACCCGCGCCCCCTCGGCGTGGGCCAGCAGCGCGGCCAGGCTGCTGACGGCGCCGGCCAGACGGCCGCACCAGAGGGGCAGGGGCTGCCCGGGGGCGGGCGGGGGGCTGCGCACCGTGATGCTGAGCAACGGGGCGGGCAGGAGGGCGCGCAGCTCCCGCGCCAGGCGCCGCAGCTCGCCCTGGTACGCCTCGCCCCGCCGCCGCAGCCGCAGGCTCTCCACCGCCCGCTCCAGCTGCTGCAGGTCTGCCTCGGTCAGCAGCTCCCCAAAGGGGCCCAGCACGGCCTGGCGGGAGGGCGAGAAGCGCCAGGAGCCTGCATCCTGCGGAGAGGGGCCGTCAGCGTCCCCCCCCGGGGCCAGCGGCGCGCCCCCCCCCACCGCCCCCCCCCCCCCCCCCCCCCCCCCCCCCCCCCGTCCCCCAGGACGACCCGTACCTGGCCAACCGCTGCCTCCTCGTCTGCCAGCCGCGCCCGCAGGCGCCGCACCATCACCTGCCGCTTCCACTCCGGGATGGGGCGGCCCCACTCGTCGTGCGTGGGCACTAGGGAATCCGCGTCCGCCTCCGCGGGGTCCGGCCCGGGGATGTCCGCTGGCTCGGCCGCCCCACCCTGCACGGGCAGAGTCACGGGGGGCTCGGGAGGGGGCGGCAGCTGAGGGGACGAGCCGGGGGCCGCGGGCGGAGCCAGCGACATACCGGGTGGGCGAAGAAGGACGCCGGGATCCTGGCCCGCTGCGAGGGCTTGCGGAGCTTCGGCTCCGCCGGCACAGCCGGCACCGCCCTGCCGGGCTTCATCCCCCGCCGAGCCGGGTGACAGGCGCAGGCCTCCTCCTGGAGGAGGGCAGGCAAGGGGAGATGGGCCCCCAACACCCCCAGGGCCCCCCACGCGTGACCGGGTGAGGGGTGCCCCGTGAGGATGTCCGGCACATCACATCACTCCGGTCCTTCCAGGCTCATGGGCGGGCGTTTTCTTCAGAAGACAGGATGGAGCTGCAGAGCCCCCGCTGTCCCCCTCCTCCCTCCCCCCCCCCGGGGAACACCACGATGCCCCCGTAGCCGAGGACCGAGCCCGGGGCCACCCCCATCGCCACCAGCCCTTCTCTGGGTGCCCCGTGCCCCCAGCCCACCCACGCCGTTTCCCAGGGAGCAGCGAGCTGTCAGTACCCCAGGGGTGGGGGTCCCCGCAGCCCCAGCCCCAGTGGGGCCTTACCTGCTGCGGGGGGTTGAGCCGGCCGCCGAGGACAGGAGGTCAGGTCCCACCCCGCCCTACGTGGGCAACACCCAAAGGTGTGTGCAGCTGCACTCCCAAAGCCCTGGCGCAGGGAGCAATGCGCCCTACCAAACGGGAGGGGAGGCCAGAGGGGTCGGGCAGCCCTGGAGTGGGCAGGGGCCACAGCTGCAGCGCGGCGGCAGGGCAGAGAGCGCAGTGAGCATCGCATTAATATTTGACGGGGGCATTGAGTGGCAACGCCGGGGCTCAGTGGGTGGCACCGGTGCAGGTCCTGGAAATAACAGCTCAGTGGCTTGGCTCCAAGCCTCGTCCCGCACCTCGGGCCAGTGGAGAATGACTGAAGCTGGCCACAGTGCCTTCCCCCGCACGCGGCCAGGCCAGGTTTTGGGGACAGGGGAAGGGGTTTGCACTGGGTGGCACAGAGGGCAGGGACCGGCGGTGGGGGATCCTCAGCAGAGGGACCTGCCGCACCGCTGCCCCGACATCTGTTATCGATATTCAGCTGCATTTGTGTTCCTTGACTCCACCACCATCCATTATATATGGCCAGGATGGAGTAGCAGGGCTCAGTTACACGTGAGAAATTCCATCAAAGGGCTGGAATAGAATCAAGAAGCAGCGGATCGAAGCCTTTAAACACCGATCGCCTGGTGAGGATCCGTTACAGATTCAGCCTCTTCATCCCTCCCTGGCCCTGGGCGGGGCGGGGGGTAGCGGGGGATGAGCCGACACCGCCCTACTATACAGCCACAGCAGCAGAGAGGATTATGCTGTGCTGGCAGCAGCGCAGTGCCCTGCAATATTGATGGGGATGTAGTATGAAACAGGAACACAGCCTGGTCCCAGATATGGCACACGTCTCAGGTTAGGCAGACAGATGCTGCAAGCCATGACATGAGCCGCATGAGAGCCCACTCCTGTCTTGTTGCCAGCACGGTGGGTGAGGGCTGGAGCTTTGCCAGCTACTGGGCCAAGGGGGGATTTTATTGAAAGCCCTCCGAGGGTTGGCTCTTCCTCTAGGTACCAGAAAGCTGCTTGCAAACGTCCTGCCTCCTGCTCCTCTGGAGTGCTGGGAAAGAGCCATCTTGATGCCTGGCGTGGCCTGGGGCTTCCAACAAGCTGCTGCTGCCCAGAGAGAGCCTTTGGGAGCTACCAAAGAGCCACCTCCAGCTTGCCAGCATTTTCTGATCTGAATTTTCATGAGATGTTCATCTTTGCATCCATTTCCAGGACCCAGAAGGCACTGAGAGGCTGTGGTCTCCCTGAGTAGCCTCACCCCACACTTGGTTGCCCTTGCTGGGGCAGACGCGGCCCCTAAAACTCTCAACACCAATGTTTGGGTCCACTCACTGGAAGGAAAGGCGGCAGGCAGGTGTGGGCAGCAGCTCAGCCCTAACGCCAGGATCTCCCCAGCACCCGGTCCACGGGAGGGGATGGAGGAGGGTGGCAGCGAGGGGCAGGCTGCCACCACATGGCTCTTGGGGATGTCCTCTGCAGCACTGCGGTGTGCAGGAGAGGAGAGGGAGAGGGAGAGGAGAGTCTCCCCTAAACCTCCATCTCAGCCTCTTTCCTCGCCCTGGCCTTCAGGAGGGCAGGCACTGGCCCCTTCAGGGATCTGCTTGGAAGAGTCACCGGGGACTGTCCCTTCCCTTTCCCCTTCCCCTTCCCCTTCTCCTTCCCCTTCCCCTCCCAGAGGTGCATCCCCACAGGGATGAGCAAAGCATCACGGAAGAAACCAGTAACGGCCCCTCTCCTCCAGTCCCAACACTGACATTCCTCCCCATCTGCCCGTTCTTGAGCCACATCCCACCCTCTCCCCCAGCTCCCAGGGCCGGACCCCTCCCGCTCCCCCAGTTCCGCAGCAGTGAGCAAACCAGCAGGGAAGAAACCAGTAAGGGCCCCTCTCAGCACCCCCAGTGCTTTTAGTGCAGAGGGGGCCCGGCTGCCCCGCTCGGAAGCGGAGCCGGGGAGGCGGCGCGCATGGTCCCCCGAGCCCAGCTCTTCCTCCCGCGCCCTCCCCAGCCACCATGGGTCTTCACTGCTCTCCAGTGGGTATCGGAGGTGTCCCCCTGCCAGGACAGGCTCCAGCCACACTGGCGAAGCAGGGGGGGCTGCGCTCCCCACACCCAGCGGACAATCTCCGGGGCCAGGGACCTCTGGGGCCCCGCTGCCGCCACGGCCTCTGCCTCGTGTAGGGATGGAAGCGGCCGTGGCGACCGTGGGCCACCCCGGCACCGTCATCCTCCACCTGCAGGCAGGAGGCCCGTGCTCACGGCTCAGTCTACCCAGGGATTTCATCCCCCTCGGGGCACCGGCTCTTTGTCCCACCTTCCCTATTCCATGGCAGAGCATCCGCACCCTGCCCCGGTTTTAAAAATTAAAACTCGGTTTGCATTTTGTAGGGAGAAATAGATACCAAGAAATGTGGCTCCACATTAGTACCTGACTGAGCTGGGAGTCTCACACCAAGGTATCACTTTGCTGTGCTGGAGAAGGCCTGTTGTGAAAGACTTCCTTACATGTTTGTAAAACCAGGTGAAATTGCATGTATTTTGTAGTCGGGGATCAGTTTTTAAAAGAACACAGGATGTCAACTTCCAAATAATGTTCTGAGGTCATCCAGCCTGTTTAAATATTGCACTTTTCCCAACAAAGATTCAGTATTGTTTCTCAGTTGCATTTTATGGCCATAATTCCTGCTGGCTCAAAAACTGCCATTGCTAACAACACTTGTCTGAAGCTGACACCAAATTATTGTATAGCTTCACACACCCACCTGAGATGACAGGGAATATTACCTTTGCTACAGAAAGGATCCGAGAAACATTCAGATTAAGGTAAAAAGAGATCACCTAATATTAAACGTCCAATTTAAATGTTCAATTCTGGGATGCCAGACAGACTTAAGCTTAGTTTGAAATGTTAGGAGAGCTGTACAGAATTTGGATATTTCAATACACCATGAATCTTAAAGAAATATAAATGGAATGTATCATACTATGAATGTTAATGTTTTGGACATATTAATAAATATGTAAGTACTATTAAAAACATAGTATTGATTTTTAAGCGCTTTTCTTCAGATGAACACACTTACAGAAAAGCCTGTGTCCAGAATATACTCCCACTACCACTGAAACAATCAATAAATTAATATAATTTAAAAAGAGGAGCATACTTGTAATTCTGAGTACAGAACGAACAGCAAAGTCATTAGAATTCAGCAACTTGGTTACATTTTTGCCTTCAGCAAGTAATTTAACCTCCCTCTCCTCTTAGTTTTCCTATTGGTAAAATAGGAATAGCTTACCTCAAAAACATTTCAAGAATAAATTTGATTGGAATTATTGAGGTAGGTAAGATGCTGGCAGTATATAGTAAAACATCTTCACAGGATGGGAGTGCTGTGACAGTCTGGCAATCATGAAACAGAAGATTCAATGTTGTTAATATAGTGTGACTGGAAAGATCACAACACCACAAGCTGTCATTATTTTAATATTCAGCATTAGGAAAGATTGCCTCCACGGCACACTTGCCTAGCTCAGTATTGATTTGACTTCTCTGATTACAAATGGAACCTAAGATACTGAGAGATGCGTCCTGTTCCATTCACCAGAACAGTGAAATTTCACAGCAGGTTGGGAGAGCTCTTCGGAGGAAGATAGTGTATCTATCTGTTGTGTGGCAGTGGATGCCGGAAACCTTGTAAGAGCAAAGCAAAACCAACACCACCTTCACAACAGCTTCACAAGACATCAGAGACACTGAATGCTGTGAGGGAGATGAAATCACCACAGTGGAATCAGGAAGGTGGGGAAAAGAGTTTTTTCCTTCAGACCTTTCCTATACCTTTCTTCATCTCTTCCTTACTGCTTTTCTATATGGACAGGGTTGATAATCCTGCCTGGCATTTCTGCATTCACCCTGGCCTCAGTAAGGAAGGGAGTAGTTTCCTGCAGATCTTACCTCATGAGAGAAGGGAGATACCAGCATTTCGTCAGGTATGACAGTTGACAGAATAGAGAAAAAGAAAGGGACCTGGAGCTATGTTGCTTCAAAAGGACCAGTTTTCAGTGATCCGTTTTCTTCAGTAGTGGAAAGAGTAGCAGTCCGTGGAAGGAAAATGAGGCGTTCCTTGTCTTCTTTCTCCAGTAACGCAGCCTGCCAGTCCTTCTGCCCCAGCCTCCCTCTCAGCCACCTCAAGCTCCAAGCCATTCTCTGCTGACTTGACTAAGTCCTTCACTGAGGTACCAGACTTTCTGTCGTTGTAAGAGGGTGGTACTAAAGGTCCAAAAGACAGACCAAGACATGTATATTCCACCCATCCTGGGTTCTGGCTTTGGCAAAGAGAAGCCTTGCTAAAAGCAGGATTGCTTGGCCCTAAGTCCTGGCCACCCTGCTGCCTGGGTAGTTCCCAGGGGAGGAAAGCTCTCCTTTCCTAGGGGCTATCAAGTGCTGGTCCCAGGAGGTTGCTATAGTCTCAGCTGCTACATGACCCCTTTCATGTGTGTGCTCTAATGCAAAATGTAGCATCTTTAATTGGTATTACAACAGGAGTAGTATTACCAGATTACACAGATGCTGAAGTGAGGAAAAGGGAAAATGACAAATTTATAAAAGGATGATGGTCTGAAGGCGCTCTCAGGGTAATCATAAAAGAAAC